TAGAAAGAAACCAAAAATAGGTGCAACATATTATCATAAAATAAGATATAGACTTATAGACTGGTCTAACATAAAAACTATCTAAACCAAATTATTTAAAATTTAGGTGAGGAAAAAAAGGGAAAGTGAGTTCTACTTTACTTTTTTGTTACCTGCAGGACTATTCACTGGTTCTGATATTTGTTATATGTATTGTCTATGTTAAATTTCAGTAAACTGCTGGTTTTTGTATTTAAAGTACCTGGTCTCTGGTTTCATTTTGTATGGTTACCCCACTCTGTTGAACCTAGAACTGGTCCAGTAGCATTAATAGAGTTGTATTAGAGTATACATGTGCTAAATCCTAAACATACTGTAAATATCTAAATTAATGAAAACATATTATTATATGTAAATCAGAATACTGCATACAACTAGACCTATAAGACTATATAGAGCATTTTGAGTTTGAAATTTGATACATACACTGAACATCTATTTGACTGATGTTGGATCGTCCAGCTCCAAGATCATTTTCAGCCTTGCAGAAAAAAGGACCACTGACTTCAGAAGCTTTAATGTTTAAAACACGTCCGGTCCCAATAAAAGTCTCCTGGTCTCCATCAGCTCGGTACCAGGTGTAGTTCCTTACTGCTGGGTTGGCAGTACTACTGCATGTCAGAGTCACAGTGCTGTCTTCTGGTACTGGACCCAGAGAGGACTGACCAAACATTGGGGGTGTTTTGGCTGAATCTGAAAAATAAATATCATTTGTATGTGTTACATTGTCAGTTGTGTAATATCTGTGTTCCCTGGAGATTGAATTAACCTTGATCATATTCATCCTGGTAACTCATTGTAAAGAAAGTTGACGCAAACAACGCCAGCTTTCTTGCTGCACTTCCACACCAAAATGACAAATAATGATTTGTATAATTTAAAGGTGTAATGTATCTGATATTTGGAAATAAATTAATTTGTCATGTTTTTATAGTGCTGACCTTTTTTTTATTAAAATCATTATATATAAAAGTTGTCAGCAAAATTACTTTTCTGCTAATCTTTTGTAGAAGATTTGACTTATTCAATAAAAATTGTTTTATGATGAATTTAAAAAAAAAAACAAGTGAACTCACATGAAATATCAGCTGTTAAACTTGTGCTAACAGATGACTCAGTGCTACCATCTTGTTTGTTGTAGACAGCAGTACAGGAGATTTCCTGTCTGTGATGGAGGTGAGAAGCAGTGAAGGTCACAACAGAGGTCTTGACTTTAGTTTTGTCCTGATTCTCCTCCAGTGTCTCCTGACTGTGACCCAGGCTGGGGGTCCATGTCAGAGTTGGAGGATGAGACAGACAGGGAGCTGGAGCAGAGCACTTCAAACTCACTGAGGTTCCCTCCTTCACCTCCAGTGTGGACGGAGTCAGAGTCGGTCTGAGAGGATCATCTGGTGGGAAGGTACATTTTGACCAGTCAGTAAAAATGTAATTCTTCTCCATTTTATATACTATTTGAAAAGTGCAATTAATGGAGAACAAGGTCAAAGCAGTTCTGCAAAAATAACCAACTGAAGTGTAACTAAATGGACTTTAAAACCTTACTTTTTACTGAAATGTCCAACTTTTGTTGATTAAAATCATATTTCAGGGGATTGTCACATTCCAGTCTGAGGTAATATCTGTTGCTGTGTTCAGGTTGCATGTTGTTCAGGGTTGTGGTGCAGTCTGTTTTTATTAAGTCTCCTGTCAATTTTCCTTTTATTGTAGACAATTGTGGATTACTGCTGTCAAACACAACAGTCCTTTGTTCATTTTTCCACATTGCTTTACAGGTTCTATCTAAGTTTGATCTAAAATTGGCCTTTATATCAAAGGAGCAGGGGATGGTCACACAGGATCCCCTGAGAACCTCTACAGTCTGCGGCATAGTGACCTTAAACGGACCTGAAACACAAGAAATAAATGTTTTTAAAAAGAAGAAGTGAATACTACTTTACAGTAATGAGGAGTTTTACGTGTTGTTGTTTGTTTTTAGACTAATGTTAGATTTTTACTTCTGGCAATCAAATGTGCTCTTCAAAAATCATAAAAGTGGTGTTCCTTTGTCTTTACTACTTTACCAGGAACCAGGGCGATTCAAACTTCCAGGTTGGTTAACAAAAATAGATCATACCTTGAGCACTTTATACATTTATTCATAAAATAATCCAGACTGTAAAAAACTGCTTCGGTCTTACAGGTTTTTTTTTTTCTGGATGTTTTGAAAAAAAATAAAACATTTTCGACTCATCAAATTAAAGTTTTAAGAAAATGGCAAAGGAGAATACATTTGTAGCTCACTGCATAGGCCTACTTCATTTGCTGTAGTATGCATTACAGATATTGTTATATTGTGGTTTGGATACTTGTTTTTTAACATTGTGTAATTATAGTTTTTAATAGTTTTCATAGTTAAGGCATCAGTAGTTTTTATAGTCTAGAGGGGACAATTTCACAATGGAGCATGGAGGTTGCTGTTTTCCAAAGTGATGGATTTCACATTTAAACTAGAGCTGCAACTAATGATTGTTTTTATTTTTGATTAATTTGTTGGTAATTTAACTATGACTGATCTATTAGTCATGTAGTCTATTAAATGTTAGTATACTGTATAAAATGCCAATATTCAGAGGATAGGTTCAATGTCTTCAAGTAGCCTGGTTCCTGATCAACAGTCCAAAACACAGAGACATTCATTTTCACATATTTTGAGAACAGGAAAGAAACAAAAGCAGCAAATTCTCATCATTGATGAATGAAACTATTTATATGTTGATCGACTAATGGATGAATTGATTAATTACTTTCAGCACAGATTCAAAATAAGGCAAGACAACTAAGGGACATAGGTCAATTATAATGTTTAAAATGATGAATTTCAGCAGAGGAAAAATGAACTCACATGAAATATCAGCTGTTAAACTTGTGCTAACAGATGACTCAGTGCTGCCATCTTGTTTGTTGTAGACGGCAGTACAGGAGATTTCCTGTCTGTGATGGAGGTGAGAAGCAGTGAAGGTCACAACAGAGGTCTTGACTTTAGTTTTGTCCTGATTCTCCTCCAGTGTCTCCTGACTGTGACCCAGGCCTGGGGTCCATGTCAGAGTTGGAGGATGAGACAGACAGGGAGCTGGAGCAGAGCACTTCAAACTCACTGAGGTTCCCTCCTCCACCTCCAGTGTGGACGGAGTCAGAGTCGGTCTGAGAGGATCATCTGGTGGGAAGGTACATTTTGACCAATCAGTAAAAATTTAATTCTTCTCCATTTTTTATACTATTTGAAAAGATGCAATTAATGGAGAACAAGGTCAAAGCAGTTCTACAAAAATAAATAACTGAAGAGTAACTAAATGGACTTTAAAACCATACCTTTTACTGTAATGTCCAACTTTTTTGATTAAAATTATGTGTCAGTTTATTTATGTCACATTCCAGTCTGAGGTAATATTTGTTGCTGTGTTCAGGTTGCATGTTGTTCAGGGTTGTGGTGCAGTCTCTTTTTGGTAAGTCTCCTGTCAAGTTTCCTTTATTGTAGATGATTGTGGATTACTGCTTTCAAACACAACAACATGTTGTTGGTTTTTCCACATTACTTTACAGGTTCCATTCAAGTCTGATCTATATCCGTCCTCTATATCAAAGGAGCAGGGGATGGTCACACAGGATCCCCGCAGAACCTCTATAGTCTGCGGCATAGTGACCTTAAACTCTCCACAGTGGACACCTGAAACACAAGACACAAACCTGTGAATGAGAACAAGTGAATACTACTTTACAATAATAAGGAAATTTGACTGTTTGGTTGCCGTGCTAAAATCTTAGCACTAAACCTTTATTCATAAAATAATCCAAAATTAAACAACTTTTTTCTATATAAAAATAAAATTGTTCACCCATCCAATGTATTTAGTGAACCATGTATCAAAGATGCTGCTGTTCTGTGGTGTGAATGCTCAACTAACAGTGTGTAGATATAGGTTTTAATAGTTTTATAGTCATTGATCCAAATATGAATGAACTTTAACTCACTCTGCAGCAGACAGCCAATGAGAAGGAGAGTCAGAGCTGCAGCCATCTTTGTGTGTCAGGAGAGGCAGAAACTCTGGAGATTACACATGGAACAATTCACATCTTTAGTACATTTCATCCCTCATGAACTTTTACAGCAGGGTTCATTTGGCCAGAATCAAATGCAATATTTGCAGAGGTTGCAGATAGACAAATGTTTTGAAACCCTAGGCTACCTCTTTTTAGAAGTCTGTAAAAGGTTGTGAGAATCTAAAACTCAATTAAACACAGACAAAATGTAATTATTTTTGGAGTTTTAGTCCTCATGAATGCAGAGCGATACAGCTCACCTATTTATTAGTAGGAGAAAAAGGGGATGTATGACTGCTTTTAAATCCCTTTCTTTTTAAAAAAAATAATCGTTGAACAATTAAGTTAATCTTTCCTAATTTGAAATATAGTTCTTGCAAATTTGCCATGCTGTTAATAAAGTTTGGTGTTGGAAATATTCAACAGAAGGGTAAAACTGATTCTGTGTTTATACTTCCTCTAAGAGATTTGCAAAAACAAATAATTGTTTGTCCCACACTTTGTAACATTCAGTGTGTCAGTGCTATAGCATGCTGCTTTGGTTAACAAGGCGTAGACGGTGAAATGATGATAAGGAAAAACAGGAAGCTATAGGCCTTTGTTTGGTTAAATGGCAAACAAATCATGTCTTTTATTTGTTTATTTTCCATGTATTTACCAATCTACAATTTGTTTTTCGGCAACTATTCAACAGGAACAAAACCACAATTTAATGACAGTTTAAAATATCTGAATAGATTTTTTTCCTTTCACATAGCTTTGGTGTTTTTTCTTTTTTATAACTTTGAAATTGTTCACTGATCTAACTGAAAAAAACTTGATTTTTAAGTTTAAGAAGCTTGTTTTATATTTAAAATAAATGATGATTTGATATGTATCATATAGAAGTTCTGATGACTTACATTTTCTTCAGGTCTTTCGAGCGGACAGATCAAAGACGTACTGAGAAGTGAAGTTCCTTCACAGTTGTGCTGCTATTTCAAACTGCCTACAAGAAGTTACTTTAAAATCAGGAAGTCACAAAAGTGCATACGCCTGTGACAACAAAATGTACTTTTTCTTACTTACTATGGGAAACATATATAGCTTACAAATTATTATAAATAAGTTTATGAATTGATATTTAATTGTACAATCAAAGTAAATCAAATTACACAATGACTTATAAACAACCAAAGCAACACAATAAATACAATAATTTCAAATACAAATTAATGAATATTTAAATAGATTTTACTCAAATTGAAATATGATACTTATATTGATTATGTATATTGGACTGTTGTTGGATTGTTGTGCTCCAAGATCATTTTCAGCCTTGCAAAAAAAAAGACTGTTGTTTTAAAAGCTTTAATGTTTAAAACTTTCCCCCCGTTAAAGGCTCATTACTGCTGGGTTGGCACAACTATGTCAGTGTCACATTACTGCCCCCTGGTACTGGAGCAGAGGAACTGACTGGCACTGTGGTGTGTTTGTGTGAGTCTGAAAAATTAATAATAAAACACATTGTTAAATGTAACATTTGTCTTCTAAAGCAAGAATGCTGGCATCACCTTTTACCAAGCTTGTCACAGAAACATTTTTTTCCTCATCAGTTCTGATCTTCACTGTTTTCAAAGTGTTTTCTCTAATTCTGGGAAACTGTGTCTAATTCATTATATCTGATTTTTAATGTTGTGGGGTTATTTGTTGTAAGGTGTAATACACAACTTCTACACCCATCTATCCCACAAGAGAGAACTTGATGCAGGATGCAGTGAAAGTGAAACATACCACTGTACAACATATTACTGGAAGTTGACAACAAACAACATCCAGCAGTCTGAATAGGACAATAATTAACAATGACTATATTGCTGTTTCAATCACAGATTGTACTTGAAAACTAAAGTAAGTAAATAAAATAAGTCAAGAGATCAATTTAATATTAATCTCAGTTTTCAGTTTGTATGTTCTCCCCGTGTCTTGGTGACTTTACTCCAGTTGTTCCCGTTTCCTCTTACAGTCCAAAGTCATGCATGTTACGTTAACCTGAAACTTTCCCAGGCATGAAATTGTCAACAAGATCATCAATAATAACAATAAAATGTAGCCGCAAGTGGCAATTGACAACATATGACACACACAAAAAAAATGCTGCATAACTTTTGGTAATTTTCCTCTAATCAGATCTGTTGATGACTGCAGTAACTCCACTAACTTTGTATCTGGTGTCCTTCCTCCACGTCTCCTGCCACCTGTAGCCCCTTCAGCACCGACTGCATTATTCACTCAGTCTATCTGCTCCCGCTAACCCCAGATCTTCTCTGTCTTGTCCAGGTAGGCCTGAAGTAATCCAAGTTCATCCACAAAGTTTGTAGTATTTTGGAGTCCTGGTTGAATTTCTCTTATTGCTTTTCCCCACCTATGTGAGGTCATTTCCAGCTATCCTGGCAAAGGAAGAAATAACCATTAACTTACACTAGATGGCAGTATGTTCATGTGCTGTAACACTGCAGGAGATTATTTTATGAAATGTCAGAGTCTTCTGAGAGGTGTTTTTTGCCATGATTACTAAATACACTGTCTCAGTATGAGATGCCTGAATTCCTTTTGTGAAGTTGTCTTATAATCCTCCCAGAAATTCTCATGAAGACCTAATATCTAATATCTATCTAAATCATAAAAAGGTTCAATGACCAGTGTGGTCATTAAACATTTCAGGTGATTGTACACAAATGGAAACTTATGAAATATATTCTGTTTCTGCCCATAGACCCTCCTGAATGTTACACATTGGACCTTTAATTGACTAACGCAATTAGTAG